TATACCATCTCTATGGTTCTGTGTAGTTCTTTGAGATAAATGTTCTAGAACGTCAGGTGTTATATTTCCATCAGCCATGTTCATTTCATACTGGTCCAAAATATCTGCATCTTTCATATCTTTCAATGGCATTAAAGCCGCGCTGAAAATACCAGCTATATCTGGTTCACCATTCACTTCCATTGCGTCTACAACTTCTTGGAATTGTGGTTGTAAGTTTATGAACCACCTATCCGGATTAGCTTTATGACCCCATCTCATTGTAGTTCCATAGTCTGCAGAAACAAAAGTAGGTTTGTTTCCATATTGGTTAGGTTCTGAATGAACTTTAAACAATGTTTCATTTCTATATGTTTTGTTGAAATTTAACCTTTTATTTTCACCGAGTTCAGCCAAAGATTGAACGTTATATGGTCGTAAGTAAAAAGGATTATTGTATTTGCGTACATTTTCTTTCAGTACTTCCATTCTATGCTGAATATTTTCATCTGATGTTGGAGTCTTTTGTATGTCGGCGAACATTTTTCGATATTCTTCTACTATGTCAGCCGAATTTTTCTTAGACTCTTGGAAAGATTCCATATTCTCCGCATACTCTTGTTGAGGGTCAAGATTTTTCGGCTGTTCCAAATCTTCATCTAGTTCTGTGAAGTTAGTTTCCAAAGGAGGGACTTGTTCGTTTCCTTCAGGCTCTTCTAGCTGTTGTTGCTGAACTATTTCTTCCATGTCTGGTTGTATCTGAACTTCTTCCTGTGGAGTTTCTTGTACCTCATCTGCTGGCATTTCATATATTCCGAGACCGTTTTTAACAAGTTCCCTTCTAAGTCATCCGCATTCATAACCCTTTCTTCTTTCGTTCCGTCTCTATTTTTTACGCGTTTCATGAAGAGAGTTGAATTATCATTTATCTCTGACACCAAATATCTCGGAGTAAATTCATCCATGTCATTTGGATGATATGCTATTAAATCATATCCCTTAGCGAGCTTGTATTTTCCAGGTTTGAATTATATCCATTTGGTGCTGAACCATAAAGCTAAATAGGTTCGGGTCAGTATTTCCTTCCTTGAACTTTCTAATAGCTTCTTTATATCTGTCACTAAAGTCAAGAGTATCTGGGTAACCATAATTTCCTTAAGCATTTTTAAGAATTCTTGGTTTCCTTTTCTCTACTTCTTTTATGTCCTTGCTCTGTTTTGGTTGTTGTTGTGCAGGTTTTGAACTGTTGGTTGTTGTTGTGCAGTTTTGAACTGTTGGTTTGGTTGTTGTTGCTGTGCAGGGTTTTGAACTGTTGGTTTTGGTTGTTGTTGCTGTGCAGGGTTTTGAACTGTTGGTTGTTGTTGTGGTGTTGGTTGTTGTTGCTGTGCTGGATTTTGAACTGTTGGTTGTTGTGTTGGTTTTGGTGCATGCCTGTGTCTGTGTCCATGTGACGATGTAAATGTTTTAGGTAGTCCTGGTGCAGGTGCTTCTCTTGGAGGGTTTGGTGGTATATAAGTTCCACTAGCTAGTATATAAATTCCACCAGCTGGCACATATGTTCCATCTGCAGCATAATGTCCTACCTGACTTTTCGTTTTTAAGAAAGCATTTACTAGGTCTGTTTTGGTCTGTTGTAACTCTTTTTCTTGACTTTCCACAACAGTTGCTCTAACGGCGTCATAGGCACTTTGAACTGCCTGTCTCGTTGCTGCATCTGTTATTTTCGTCATATTTTGTGCTACTTCTCTTAACTCTTTGTCGAAACCTTCAGACTTCAGTTTCTTTCCAGATGAGAAATCGTTCACTTGTTTCACCTTACTATGAAGAGCTTCGAAGGCATTCTTAAAGTCAGCATTCATTAAAGCTTCATTTGAACTGTCTTCATCCGCTTGTATTTTTGTCCTTATTGACCCTATAAGTTGGGCTGCTTTGGCGTTGGCTTGGGCATCTAACCAGTCATTATTAGCTTTTATATATTCTGCGCTTTTCATTGCCTTTTGCATGGCTGCGTCGTTATTTTTACTTTCTTGTGCTAAGTTTTCATACTGTACGGTTTGGTTTTGCAACTGTAAAAGTTTTTTTGCCTTTACATTTGCTTCAACTTCTTTTTTATACTCATCGCTATCCATATATGTCTTCATGGCTTTTTTTTTATCTCTTCATCTTTCAGTACTTTATATTGAGTAGTATGGTTTTTCAAATTTATAACATCTTGTTCCATTTTTGCTACTTCTGCTGCTTTTTCTGACACTTTTTTCGCATATTCCTCTGTACTTAGTTCTTTCAGTTGTTCTTCTTTCTTCTTTTTCTCTACGTTTAACTCATTGAGTTTCTTTGTGTGTCTGTCATATTCTAGTTTCTTTTCGTTTTCACTTATTTGTTTCTGTATGTCTATGTTTGACTTTTTGACATCTGTTATTTGATTTTTGAGTGAACTCAAATTCATTTGACTTTGAGGGTTATAAGCTGTTCCGTCTGCAGCTCCACCATAGCCTCTGCCATTTTCGCTAAAAGTGCCGCTCTTAAACCTCCACTCTGTGCACCAATAACTCGGTTTAAAAGCATAGGTTGCTTGACATTTGTTGCAACATAGTGGGGTCATTCATCATTTGTTGTTGCAACTGTTGTTGTGGTGTCAGTTTTACTATTGGATGTTTCAATGCTCCCTTCCTCTTACGTATATTCTTACGTAGCTTACGTGGCATTTTAAGTGAAGTTAAAAAACGGTTTTTGACAGATGTTTATATGACACTTTTTGTTCAGCTCAAAAAACTACTCGGTCAAAGTGTTGTCAGTTTTGTAAAATAACCGTCCTATCTCATTCTATAAGGGGAAAAAGGCTTCTCAAAGTATACTTCCTTGGAACGCCTGTAACTTTTCCTATAGCGACGATAGATCCTTACTTGTCCGGACAAAGTTATACTATTTTGAGTGCTCTACAAAAAAGTCAACGGCGACGACTCTCAAAAACCGTTGTGTAAAAAGTTTTACCGTTGGACAAAAACGGTTTATCTCAAATATTGAATGAACTATAAACGTTTTTTGTTTTCTATATATACTTTTTATAGTTCATTCAATATTTGAGATAAACCGTTTTTCCAACGGAGACTTTTCAATAAAATAAAAAATAGAGGGGGTTACCGTTGACAAAAACGGTTTATTTCAAACTTTTCTATGAGTAGTCCGAAAAAAAACAGTTCATTTTTCATAATGGAAGGAAGAACAAGTGTCGCAAACAATTCTTCGACTACCTCTGCAGTTAAAGTTCCTACAACTTATGTCTCACCATTCTCAAAACCCTTACGACCTCCTATAATACCAAAGCAACTTCCTCATACAATTCAAGACAATTTGTCCAACAATTTGAGTTCTTCTTCTCAAAACACAACAGATACAGTTGTCCAAACAGCACCAGAACAAGTTTCACATAGTTCTACAATTCAAGACAAATTGTCCAACAATTTGAGTTCTTCTTCTTCTCAAAACACAACAGAAACATCTGAAACAGATTTACAACCAGCACCAGAACAAGTTTCACATAGTTCTACAAGTATGTTAACAAGAGCACAATTTCAAGATTTAATTTCTCTTGAACAATATTCGAGTAACGAAACACAAACCGACGACTGTAACCTCTCGCTACCCGAATCCATTCAAAGAAAATACGCCATGAAAAGACTGAAATTGTTGTATAAACTTCTTAACAATTGGGGGGTCGAAGACAACTCAGATTATAGTGAAATGTTTAACAAAGTCATAGAATCTGTTAAACCAATTGAAAACGACATAAAAAATCCCGGTGTTCTTGTAGACCTTTTCGCCTCAAAATTACCAGTTACAACCAATCTAATAGCAACACAAGCTATAGAGCAATTTATTTTATGTTTTCCCAAGCAATATAGACAACACCTGAGGGAAACAAGAATAGGAAAATTTCAATTGGTGTATCCTACAACATACAACTATTACGAAGAAGCAAATGAATATGGAGAACTCTCATTCCATTTCACACTTTCAGTTCCTGAGGGAGAAGAAAAAGCAATCTATCATGTACAATCTCTTGCAGGATGTGAAGGAAAACCCCACATAATAACTACTGTTGCAATTGACAAACCCGCAAGAGTCGAAGACGATGTTTTGTTCGCGTCCATTGCTGGTTTTGGCATGGGAGAACCAATTCCAATTTCCCATTTCACAGAATACTCAGCACAACATTTTCAAAATGTAGAATTCGTGTTCTACGACCATCAAAAGTTCCTGTTAACAAAACCAAAGAAACAATTTGTCTCAATATTTGTTGCTGGTCATGTGGCTGACAAAGAGCCATCAGATACTGACAATGAAGAAGAGGAGGAGGAAGAAGAAAACGATAGCGATGTTGTAAGACGAGTTACGGAAAGTGAGGTGAACCGAAAAGTGACACTTATTTGGTCGGATAAATTCCCTATATATTTACTGTCAAAAAAATCAGACTTTTTTTGCTTTAAAAAATTTATAAGTTAATTATTGAGAACGAAGGTGAAAGGAAATGGATATCTCTTACCTTTCATTCCCTCGAGAAAGTTCAAAAACTTGGGTGCAATCAGTTCTGATTGCACCCAAGTTTTGAACTTTGTATAAGGAATTGTTGGCTATGATGCACTGATCATGAATCAGTACATCATAGCCAACAATTCCTTCGCAAACAGCGGGAAACTTTGTCTGAATAGTTTAACATTCAGACAAAGTTTCCCGCTGTCAGAGAGGAATGGAAGGGTAAGAGTATATATTCATAATGTATACTCTTACCCTTTCATTCCCTCGAGAAAGTTTCAAAAACTTGGGTGCAATCAGTTCTGATTGCACCCAAGTTTTTGAACTTTGTAAAGGAATTGTTGGCTATGATGCACTGATCATGAATCAGTACATCATAGCCAACAATTCCTTCGCAAACAGCGGGAAACTTTGTCTGAATAGTTTAACATTTTGGAGAACGGTTTCGACGTTAATACCGCTTTGAATAGTTTAACATTTTGGAGAACTTATACAAAGTTCAAAAACTTTGTCTGAAGAATTCTTCCATCTGTTAAAGGGACATTTTGGAGAACGGTTTCGACGTTAATACCGCTTTGAATTTGTTGATTAGCTTGATTTAACCATTCTAAATCAATTAAATCGAAGATTCTACCACTCATTGGAAAATTATAAGTTTTGAAAAAAACCGTAAATCATTATTGAATCTAAAAATATTTATGTACAAAAAGTCGGTATATATTCTATAATTATTTAAAATAATGAAAAAGTTGATTTGTGAATCATTGAAATATTAATGCTGTTATATATATATATCAGATGATATAAGATGATTTTTTTAAATAAAAAATAAAATTTAATTTTTTAATTGTTAAAATAAGAATAGTAAGCTTGACAAGTAATTTAAGTTTTTGCTTTGTAAAGTTATTTGGTTGGCAAATGCATTGTGTCACTTTTTGTTTGAGTTCACTTTCCGTAATTTGTCTTATGATAGCGATGTCGTTCTTATCGAATAAAAACTTTAATGTTTTACTAGGTTTTTTAGGGGGTAGAGGGCACGAAGTGCCTGGAAGCCCCACTCACCTGACCTATTTCAAAGAAAAGAATAATTTAATAGACTAAAAAAATTTATTATTTTTATTTATTGTGAATTTTAAATTGTCACTTTTTAAGTATTACTCCCTATTGAAAGTGTCACTTTCTGGTGTCACTTTTTCGGAAATTCTTATATACTCTAATGTTTTCTAGGTTCAAATTCTTAATAATGAATTTGATATTCATTTCTGTAGCTATTATTCTGCCATTTCTTATAAGATTTCAGCCCAAAAAAACAGATTCAACAGCTACCCCTGAAATTCCTACTACAACAACAGAACCTAAACAAATAAATAAACTCGACTCACCAATTCAATCAGTACCTATTAATAAGAATCCACCAAAATCCATTAATAAGGAAGCAAAGAAACGAGCTCAAAATTTCAGTCCTTACAAAGACACAGCGTTTACAGAAGATAAAGAAATGAAAGAAAACAACCTCAAAGCTCAAAATGGCCCAGCGCCAGAGCCTCTTATCCCAGCAAACTTTGATTTAGATTTCGAAGGTGTTGCAAACTTAGAAATATCTCCAGGGGTATTTGTTCTCCACAATTACTCGGCTACTCGCTCATCTAGAAAGTTCAATTTCAATAACTATTCAATAGATATTGTTACATTTGATTCCGGATTCATGAAGGAGCATTTCGTATGGCTCCCACCTTTCAAATGGTATTTACCAAACGGCTTGACAAAGAAACAAATAGATCTCTTCTGGAAACAGCCAGAAAATCATTGGCATTTCGATGACTCAAATATGTGGCATACAGGTGTTGTATGGGAAATTACTAATGGAGAAATGTCTCATTGCAATGAAGATAAGTGTAAAAACCATAATTACACTCATCACTTGAATTACTGCGAATGGCCAAAGCCAACATCTAATCCACAGTTCAAAGGAAACTTATTTGCCTTCGGTGGCCATTTAATTGAAATTTTCCAGCACTTTTTCGATAATGGCGTTCCACATATGGCTTTCGCTTCAATTGCTACTGGTATTGATCCTAAGGATGTTACTGTATCAACAGCAGCATGCAATGGTATCACACAACAAGTTGTCCAGCGTCTTGGCTTCAAAATTAAAAGAAACAATAAGAATTACCGAAAAAGTGACAAAACATCAAAAACAGGGAGGGGGTCTCAATTTTTATTACTTATATTATTTTACAATATTTATATAAATACTCTTTATAATATATTTTAAGGTCAGGTGGGTGGGTCTTCCAGGCGCGTTGCGCCCTCTAGCCCCGGAGAAACTAGAGGAGGAATGATACAAAGACCAGATGAAAAAAATAAAAATATTATAATAAAATTAAATTTTTAGTCTTAAATTGTTTTTTTTATTCGGTATATTCTGAATCTTGAATGTCTTGGAAATTTTCTTCTTCTTCGCTCTCTGAGGTGAGGATTTCTTCGACTTCTTCTTCTTCGCCATTGGGAGCAACAAATCCTGCGATGAAAACTTTGTATATACCTTCTTGAGGAGTCTCTATGATGAAAGTCGTATTGTTGAGGAAATGGAACTCGACATCTTGAACAAATTGGCAACTGCTGTGTGTGAATTTTGCAATTGTGAGAGGCTTTCCTTTAGAGCCATTGGGAAAGCTTGAGATAGTTACTGTTCCTCCATATGGAACTCTGGCAGGAATATCTAAAGCAACAGTTGTTATAACGTGGAAATTGTCTTGAAATTGGAAAGGTTCAATGCAGTATAGTCGTTTTGACTGGTTGTCTTTTGTGTAGAAATATAAATAGAATGACCTTTCACCATGTTCATTCAATTCTTCCAAATAATTTTATGAATTTGGATATAAACGGACAAATTCAGCAATTTTAACTTCTTGTAAATGCTTCTGCAAGTTCTTTGGAAACAAGTGAATGAACTGGTCAATAGCTTGCAACGCTATGAGATTGGCAGTAACGGGTAAATATGAAGCAAACATGTCAACAAGTACGCCAGGGTCTTTGATTTCGTTTTCAAGAGGCTGAATGGCATCCATGACAGCTTGAAACATCTCGTTATAATCTCGATTGTCTTCTGAACCCCACTGTTCATTTAACTTATCTAACAATTCTAACCTTTTCTTTGCGTATTTTCTACGAACTTTCTCTGAAAGAGGAGTGTCGCTATCTTGTGTGTCTTGAATTTGAGACTTAAATTGTTTGCTAAAGGCGAGATATCGTGTTTGTGACCTAGTGGTCATTGCAGAATGTGTTTCTGTATGTTCGATTGGATGTGTTTCTGTATTTTCGGGTGGTTGTGTTTCTGTATGTTCGATTGGAGTCTGATTGGTATGAACTTCTTCTGAAAATGCTTCTGTTCCGATAGTTGTTGTTGCCTGACCTGTTGGCTGAGCTGTTTCTTTGTGCAAATGCATATTGTCCAACAATTTGTCTTGAATTGTATGAGGAAGTTGCTTTGGTATTATAGGAGGTCGTAAGGGTTTTGAGAATGGTGAGACATAAGTTGTAGGAACTTTAACTGCAGAGGTAGTCGAAGAATTGTTTGCGACACTTGTTCTTCCTTCCATTATGAAAAATGAACTGTTTTTTTTCGGACTACTCATAGAAAAGTTTGAAATAAACCGTTTTTGTCAACGGTAACCCCCTCTATTTTTTATTTTATTGAAAAGTCTCCGTTGGAAAAACGGTTTATCTCAAATATTGAATGAACTATAAAAAGTATATATAGAAAACAAAAAACGTTTATAGTTCATTCAATATTTGAGATAAACCGTTTTTGTCCAACGGTAAAACTTTTTACACAACGGTTTTTGAGAGTCGTCGCCGTTGACTTTTTTGTAGAGCACTCAAAATAGTATAACTTTGTCCGGACAAGTAAGGATCTATCGTCGCTATAGGAAAAGTTACAGGCGTTCCAAGGAAGTATACTTTGAGAAGCCTTTTTCCCCTTATAGAATGAGATAGGACGGTTATTTTACAAAACTGACAACACTTTGACCGAGTAGTTTTTTGAGCTGAACAAAAAGTGTCATATAAACATCTGTCAAAAACCGTTTTTTAACTTCACTTAAAATGCCACGTAAGCTACGTAAGAATATACGTAAGAGGAAGGGAGCATTGAAACATCCAATAGTAAAACTGACACCACAACAACAGTTGCAACAACAAATGATGAATGACCCCACTATGTTGCAACAAATGTCAAGCAACCCTATGCTTTTAAACCGAGTTATTGGTGCACAGAGTGGAGGTTTAAGAGCGGCACTTTTAGCGAAAATGGCAGGCTATGGTGGAGCTGCAGACGGAACAGCTTATAACCCTCAAAGTCAAATGAATTTGAGTTCACTCAAAAATCAAATAACAGATGTCAAAAAGTCAAACATAGACATACAGAAACAAATAAGTGAAAACGAAAAGAAACTAGAATATGACAGACACACAAAGAAACTCAATGAGTTAAACGTAGAGAAAAAGAAGAAAGAAGAACAACTGAAAGAACTAAGTACAGAGGAATATGCGAAAAAAGTGTCAGAAAAAGCAGCAGAAGTAGCAAAAATGGAACAAGATGTTATAAATTTGAAAAACCATACTACTCAATATAAAGTACTGAAAGATGAAGAGATAAAAACAAAAAGCCCTGAAGACATATATGGATAGCGATGAGTATAAAAAAGAAGTTGAAGCAAATGTAAAGGCAAAAAACTTTTACAGTTGCAAAACCAAACCGTACAGTATGAAAACTTAGCACAAGAAAGTAAAAATAACGACGCAGCCATGCAAAAGGCAATGAAAAGCGCAGAATATATAAAAGCTAATAATGACTGGTTAGATGCCCAAGCCAACGCTAAAGCAGCCCAACTTATAGGGTCAATAAGGACAAAAATACAAGCGGATGAAGACAGTTCAAATGAAGCTTTAATGAATGCTGACTTTAAGAATGCCTTCGAAGCTCTTCATAGTAAGGTGAAACAAGTGAACGATTTCTCATCTGGAAAGAAACTGAAGTCTGAAGGTTTCGACAAAGAGTTAAGAGAAGTAGCACAAAATATGACGAAAATAACAGATGCAGCAACGAGACAGGCAGTTCAAAGTGCCTATGACGCCGTTAGAGCAACTGTTGTGGAAAGTCAAGAAAAAGAGTTACAACAGACCAAAACAGACCTAGTAAATGCTTTCTTAAAAACGAAAAGTCAGGTAGGACATTATGCTGCAGATGGAACATATGTGCCAGCTGGTGGAATTTATATACTAGCTAGTGGAACTTATATACCACCAAACCCTCCAAGAGAAGCACCTGCACCAGGACTACCTAAAACATTTACATCGTCACATGGACACAGACACAGGCATGCACCAAAACCAACACAACAACCAACAGTTCAAAATCCAGCACAGCAACAACAACCAACACCACAACAACAACCAACAGTTCAAAACCCTGCACAGCAACAACAACCAAAACCAACAGTTCAAAACCCTGCACAGCAACAACAACCAAAACCAACAGTTCAAAACCCTGCACAACAACAACCAACAGTTCAAAACCCTGCACAACAACAACCACAAACAGAGCAAGGACATAAAAGAAGTAGAGAAAAAGGAAACC